GTAAGTATTGTCTCAGAAACATTCTCTTGTGACAAGCGATATGAATCGAATATTGCCTTCCGAGTCTCGTTAAAGCATGACCAACAGTTCCATCATATGAGTAGTTTAAAAGCAGAAAATTGTGTCGTGTTGGATAAAGCATTTAGGACATCAGGGGGTTCGGATATACGTGAATATACTAGCAGACAGTTTTATCTATGTCTTGGAAACCTACCACTATTTTGAATTAGGTCTATTCTTGTGTATGTGATTTCCGAATTTGCGAGCTGACTTTCTCAAGTTTTGACTATTGAGCTCGCAGAATCTGAAGTTCTCGCATCGGTGAAAGGTCACACTAATGAGGTCTGTTCTGTTCTTACAACCATTAACTATGCATTTTCTTGCGCCGGTTTTGGTTGCCCATTTGGATAAAGCAACAGAATGATCATTGGAATGTTGGTAACAGATTTAAACGGAAGGTAGCACATTTTTACAGACTGATGTTACAAGAATAGTAGAGTAGATGCACCAGTGCCACTGTTTGCGATACCCAGCCATATCGCTCAGTGTCTCTAACCACCGGTAATCATGAGTGCCATGGATAAATTGCTTTCCAGTTCAAAATAACACGATCGACGACGTCCATTGAGATCCGCGCTATGTCGAATTTCCTCTTACCATAAGTGTTTTACCACCGATAGCAAAGCCATGAAATATTTCTTTGAAAGCTCTTTGTTATCAGAAGATCGTTCCTTAATAGCAGTTATAGAACGATTTGAGTATCCTATGAACCTCAGTAATCAAGATCAATTGAGATTGTCATTATTCTCATGAGTTGAGGTTGTCCATACCATGATCATGTCCTGTGTTGTTCTCTTCAAAATGTCATTCCCCGTGCTTGTTATTCGGTTTATCGCACAATGTGTAGAAACCTCGACACCGCACTGTTTAAGGATTAGTATTCCTCACTCTGCTGATCTATTGGTCCATTTTCGTTCAGGTTCTCCCAATAAGTTCGATTCCCTCGACTATCACAGATCATCTAACTCCAAATTGATTTTCACCATACCAAAAACACTGTGATTAAGCTGATTTTGACAAATATCTCCCTGCATTACGATTGCACAATGTTGCACATCTGGGTTGGGCTCTCATCCGGGAACTATCGGGCCTATCGTAGCCCAAAAGCTGATGTTGTGTTCGTTCTGCGTTAAGGCGATCTCATTTGTAAACGGCTGGCGGTCCCACTTTCGAATTTTAAATCCGTTTTATTGATATATTTTAGCTGTTTTCCAGGGGCTTAGACTGTTATACGGTTTTTGTGCAGTCAGCTCAACTGTCAGTACCGTGTCTACAGGTTAATCTCAGTATGCGCCTTGGAATGAGTGTAGGAGTTTTGCTTCGGAATGCTGTTATGCCATGTCCGACAATGTCTGCGGGTGCCCGTGCACATCATCGCGCACCCTGTGGTTTCACCTAGTGATGCACATGGATAGTTTCTCAATGCCTGTTGCGGTGAAACCGATTGGTTCTTTTCACTGACACAAAACTTCGCAATGGTGCGCAACTGCTCAGTATCAGTATTTCCGTAGTCGTTCCGGTGAGTATTCTATTATCGCTCTTGGTATATTTGTGGTCACTGCGATTGCATAATCAGAATCCAGCAGTTAGCACAAATTTGCATCCGTTTTTATTTGTTCCCCTCTAATCGAGTTTTTGTGATCCTTGTTACGAATATGCATCTACGATTGGCTTAAGGTAACGTTGGTTATTCTTTACAGGATGATTCCCCTGACAACGGCAGGGAAACCTCATCGTGTACTTCACCCTACGGTTTTTTCTGGGACCACAAATTTTGCCTTTGTCCTGGGATCCCTCTTGGAGTTGGTTTGTCCTATTTCACTGGGCCACCGAGTAGACAGATTGGCCTGAAACGCTGGTATTCCCAGTCTTGTGATCTTGCCCTTGTCTCTGCGTCCTTGTTCGAGAAACTGGCTGCTCCCGCTCATCAATCCTCACTCAGGGCTGTTGTTGTTGTTGTTGTTGTTGTTGTTGACCTTATTGGGTTCACCATTCTCGGGTGCGCATCTGGCCGCGTGTATCTGCTTATGTGCTGTGGGCTTAAGGGGGGAGGGGTGGCTTGCCGAAGATTTAGGCACAACGGATGAATTAGTCGCTTCGTTCGTTAGGTTTTTACGTTCAGTCCCTTCTCTTTGTGCGTCATCGCGTGCTTTGTTTCCAGTTCACTCCATTGCCATGGTGGCGGCCGGGTCGTGGACCGGTACGCCATGTGCCCATAGTGGAGGCACTTCTAACCCGCCGCGAACGCACCCGGATGTGCGGTTTATTCTTTGTTTGTACGTGTGCGTCCGTGTGTGCATGCCTCAGCGGTTATGCACGTGTAGACCGTTGGCCAGCTCGTGTAATGCCCTCTTGGCCCGCCTATTCGTGAAGGTTGTCTCATCGATGTCATTGTGCACCAGCGCGACTGCAGCCTGACTAAACAGGCCAGTAGGAACAGCGAAACGAGACGAAGAGGACCGGTTGGTCATCCGCTCTGCGTGTGCTTGGATATTCTTACTTGTGCTGTTAACTTTGTGGATCAGGTGATGCAGGGGATCGGCGTGTGTTGGGCGTCGGAAAATGCAGAATCACATGACCTCAGTTTCGCTTCAAACCTTCGCATTTAAAGCTAGGGAAGATTGTGCTTGTTCATTAGCATATTCTCCGCCTCTTGCGCAAATCCTATCAAACAAGCAAACTCAAACTGTGATCCGTTGATGACCGGGATGTTTGGTTGCAGTGTAAAATGCTATAGGGTGTGATAAGTAGTCTCGTGAATAGTATTTTTGACGGTCTTCTGAATTTATATTCTTGTTCTTCATGTGTGCCAGTGAATCCGCAC